TGACAAGAAATCATGAAAAAAAATTTGTGCAATACAAAAATATATGTGCCATGAATCCGAGCAGAAATTATTAAATTTAAAAAAAAATCAAACTGAATATTAGTAAAAAAAGAGAAAAATTAAAAATATGAATTTTTCTCAAGACGGACAGCCCCAACGTAGGGGGGAAACCCAAATGCACCAAACTAAAGACCAACTGATCAGAAAACAATTTTAACATTTAAAATTAAAGAGAAACCCACAACTTTTTATTTATAAAACCGAACCTAAGTATTTAAAACTTTTAGTCTTTGCTACTATTGGTTTACCACCTTCACATCATCATCTTGAAAACCATAATATTGATAATGGATAGTCTTGATAAGTTTATTTATGAAATTCAGTAGGTTAAGGATTAATTTGTATTTTCATACTTGTGAAATCAATGTATTTTGTACAAGTTATTAAAATATCAAACGACCAGATCTGTCCGCCGCATATCTCAGTAAGGTGAGCATTACATGTAAGGTTTTATGGCTGATATGCGGGCGAGGCAAAAGTTCTCCGCGACAATTGATCTTATGGCAATTTGTCCCTCACTGCTAATTCAGAAAACATGTGGTTGTTGTTATTTCTGGCTAGTAGTCCGGAAAAACCGGTAACGTGGATCGACCACTGAAATATGACCGGAAAACAAACAAACAAACTAACTGAAAAGATTATTTCTACAAATGATATTGACACTCTTGATAATTGTTTGTTTGAAAAAAGAGAAAAACTTTACGATCGTTTTATTAGTATGCTTACAAATAATATAACCTTATTAATCATTATCATTCTACATTTTATTTCGTTTAAATTGTGAACCAAATTGTTACAATCGTAGAGACGTGTTAAACTTAATGTATTTTCAATATTATATAAGTATGCTTTGTATATCACCAGGCATGTCAAAAGAGCACTAAGGTGGACACCAGCTGGCAAAGGGAAACCAGGAAGGCCCAAAAAGGTAATGGAGGGGGCCATAGCAGGGGAGATGAAAGATTTGGGATACGGGGGGAGAAAGATAAAAAGACAAAAACAGATTTTTGGTGGAAGTTTTAGTGTTCCCTTACACGAAGATAAATTAGAAAAAAATTACCTCTGTTACATTAATATTTCCCAATCGATGATAAAGGAAGTATAAGGTTTAAAAATTTTTAAAAAAACAGAAAGAAACAATTTTTAATTTTCATTATGTTCTTATTGCTTCAGAAATGACCTCCCTTATAAGTGATTGATAATGCAGTGTGTATGTTTAAGTTATGCTAGATTCCATGTTTAATATTCATCAAATAATTATCTTCCTTATCTTGTATTAAAAAACGGAAACAATGTATCGCAACTTTAATCTAACATTTTTTGCAGGGTTCTTTTTGTTCTTCTTTTTTTTGTCTGCGTGTGGGGTGTGATTGTTCACAGTGAGCATTCGAACCCAAAAAAGGAATTCAAGCAAGGGATTAGACACACGTAGACAGGTCAGGCAAGCAGAAAAAAAGACAGACAGACGTTGGTTAATACAATATGATAAACAAGATCAACAAGGAAAGGCGGCGTTCAATGAACGCAACCCCCATATGACCCAGCATCAAGAACCAATGGCAAGGAGCCCAGGCGGACCAGCCTACTATTTATGTCATGATACTACCCATCTTTATTTTAAAATAATTTATATAAAATGTATATAAGTATTTATGTATGTATGAAGGTAGGTAGGTGGGAAGGCAGGAATTCGAGCGCACGTATGTGCGTGCTAGGTGTGAGCAATAGAAAACCGTACGTTAATGGATAACTTTATTCTGAATAAATAAGAATATTTTATTAACAATGATAATATTATCAAATGATTTATTGACAATTGCATCAAAACAAACAGAAACAAATCTGGCCAATGTCAAAATTATTATAAATGATATAACGATACTAACTTTTACTTTATTTCTTACATCTAAATATTTTAATAAAGGCAAATCGAAAACCTGGCGAGCTTAATGTGTAAACTATTGGGTTTACAGTCGAATTTACGTATGTCATCCAAAATGTTACATGCCAAATAATTTCTGGCACCAGGTTTGGCTTTGAAATAGAAATGTCAAAGACAATATGAAATGGAACCCATAGTATTGCATATGATAAAACAATTAATTGCAAAGTATAAAATATCTTCTTTTCTTTTTCTAAACGTCTATATGTCATACTTTTGTGTTGTGTTTTAAAGTCACTAGTATTTTGTTTTTCAACACTTATATAACTGACGCATTTCGCGTGTGCTTTTCCAATTCCGCTTGAATCATTAGTTTCACTATCGGTGTCAACAGCTGTATGAATTGTTTCCCCATTCTTATCCTCATTCTGTGGTGCGGACGTCGAGGGAGTTTGCAGTGAGTGTCTAATTCGGTATATTGCAAAATTTTGTTTAATCTTATTTCTGAAATATATTGCCAAGTGAATGTAACAATATAAAATAGTAATAAAAGGGAGATGATGTCCAAGCACTGCTACAACGTAAACCAATTCTTGATTGAGAGAAGGATCCCACAAACACTCATTAGGTGAACTGTTTTTTAGCCGATCAAGAAGCCATGGAGGTACCCACAATATTAACATGAACGCCCTAAAATATATCAAGAAAACATTGAATAAAAAATGTAATTTTGTCTAACTTATATACTCAATAAAAGCAATGTCAAAAGTATACAAATTATGCATGCCTTACCAAATGGCAAACAGACTGATAATGCATCTTCTTTTGGTATGGAAACGCCTGTAGTTGTAACTCCATGTCACACTCCAAAATCTGTCCACCGAGATCAGAATCAAGGTGAAAACTGACACAAAAGTCATACCTGAAAGAGAAATGCATTGTATCAGTTCAATCAAAATAAATCCTGCTAAATGATTATTTTATATTATAGCAATTATCTTTGTTCATCGAACATATTAAATATTTTCTTAAAAAAATAGCTGTCAAAACTGGTTATCATAACATTTAAAAAAGTTCAAGCTGTGTGAACCCCAGATGATCCAAAATATTTCGAGACAATTAAACTCGGGGGAAATGTACTAAGATTTTAAGAAAAGTAAAAAAAAAATCAAAAAAAATCAAGAATCAAGTAATTCACATGTTTATGCGATTAAGACTACTTTTTCATTTTTGTAATTTACGTGGATTGTAAGTGCTGTTTGCAATAGGTAAACAACTTTTTTCACTTCACAATATTTTGCTTTTAAATTCATTTCCATAATTTAAAGCCACTGACCTCCAAATGGTAAAATAAAAAAAAATGAAATAAAATTTCAAGTAAATAGTTAGTACTGATCTAGTTAGGTTTATTTATCATTCCATCATTACTGACATCTTTATTTAAGAAAGAATGTTGACAAAAGCGTTAATAAATCGGGTTTTCTTTTCCATAATCTACTACGTTACTAACGCAGTAGCCAATACAAATAGAAGAAGATAATTCATTTAACGCGGTCACGTGTCACAACAGTGATCCGGAAAAATCCCTGTATCCGGTATGCCCGGGATCGTTTATCAATTTTCGTCATTAAGTAGGCCCCTATCACATTTCAAGCTAAAGGTTAAATCGATAAATTAGTCATCATATATATGAAATAATTAAACAATTAAAATTTTTTGTCCCACGAATTACTACAAATATAAAAACAACAGCAGTTATTCGTATCCCTAAATGTTTGATAAAATCCCGGATTCCGTGCGTTCCGGGGCACAGGTCGCGATATTGCCCTGTACGATCACGTGATACTAGAAAAAAAACCGGATGAAAGAATTCCGTGGTATAATAAAAGAAGGTATTTCCAGTTGGTGGAAAAGCGAACTGTTTGTTTTCAGAGCAATACTGTTAAAATATGAACATTTTGAAGTGTCATTTCGATTTCTTTAAACTATATAATGTTTTTTAGGGGGGAATTTGAAATATTAGCAAGCCGGCAGTTGTGTGCTATCATTTGGAGGTCAGCTGCTTTAATGATAATAAGCATTAATCTGGAGGCATGCTGTTTTTTTGTTTTTTGTTTGTTTTTTTTTTGATAGGATGGAACTGGTCGTTTGCTGTAACTGATACATAACTCGTAGCCATATCTATTTGTTTCTATTTTTGTTCATGTATCTGTAGTGTTTATATGAACGGACACATACATATAAGATTTTGAATAAGTGTAGGTCCAATACTGAATTTCTTGAACGAGTTGAATAGAATTATCTGGCGAATATTACAAGTATATTTATTCAACGAGGACAATAAATTTGGTCATGAAGCTACACGAATATAACATTATATATACATCTCCAAATATACATTTGTTTGCAGTAAAATTAAAACACCTTTTCATTTGCGCGCTTAAAGAATGATGCTTACATTTAGTCTTGTTTGTATAATGCAATTAACGTCACGTCAAAATATGCAATACTATATTTTCGGAGTCGCAAAAGCGGCACGTGTATGTTATAAAATAAATAAAACTAAAGCTAAACTAAACAAATTAAATAAATTTCAGCTTTGACTGGTGGCTTTTAAACTTTAAACAGAAACTGTTACCCACATGTTTGAATAGTTAATAAAGATAATATAAAACATTTTTATTTCTGCCTTGTTGGTATTACACATCACATATATTTCGCCTACTATTGTCTATAATGCAGCCACTTCCGGTACAACTAAGGCATTAAGTTAAATAATAATTTATTTGTTTACAATAGGATGGCAATGGAAATAAAAAAAAACTTATGTAAAAATGGAGAAAAAAAGAAGAAAACATTTAATAGTTTTATAGCTAATCAGTAAAAATCAGTAACCACTGGCTGCTCTTCGTTCAGCTAACACTCCGTAATAAAACAATAAATTATTCAAATAATTTAAAAGCTATATTTCTATTTTTTTAAATCTTGATTTATTTATGCTCTGTACAAGAATTTTCCCAAGTGGTACTCATTTCCCTGAACCGTCGTTTGCTACATGAACTTTTTTAAGTTAGTGTAATATGTATTAAAGTAAACACAAATACCACTCTTTTACGTTTTGCTACTTTAATGGCTTATAAATTTACATCCAACGCTGTCTGCTTTGTACACTTAACTTGATAATTAAATATATCTAAACGACAGTTGGTCTCTAGAGGAAAAGGTATTGAATTTTGAGGCTGAATGTATAATAAGAATTTATGTAATTCGGTTTGAAAAAGTCTTGGAAAACTCCAAGTTGGTAAAATTAAAAGAAAAGATTATTTCAACGGTTAAACAAGATGCCTTGGATAATTAAAATCGTACTTACACAAATTCAAAAAAGTTATTTGATTTTTTTTTTCAGATAAAAACAAATTGAGAATACTTCAGTCTATGAGTATATAGTAGTTTAAAAGATAACAAAATAAAACTTATTCTACAACCATAATCAAAGAAGATCCAAGCAGCACAGAGAACTTCTCCGAAAGGCCAGTATCCAAAGACCATGTGTGTTGCTTGGAAACTCATAGCAGTCACGGCAACAGCCACATCTGTTATAGCCAGATTTACAATGAAGTAATTAAACGACGTCTGCAGCTTTCTATCTATTTTCACGGCGATCAAAACCAGTGTATTGCCCAATATTGTTGCCAAAACAATTCCATAAAGAATTATCCCAACTACCACTTTATTCCAAGATAAATTTACATCTATATCCCTTTCCTTAGTATTATTTGATTCAGTTGTAAAGATCATGATTTTATTTTTTAGATTTTTAAATTTATTACTTTAACAGTTACATTCACCGGTTGTTCGCCAATTGTTCCTTACTGTAACAAGCAAACTATCATCATAAACCCACAAATGACAACTCTAACGAATACGACGCAATAAAAACGATCAATTTCAAAAGTCAATAAATTCATTTTCAAATTTTAATATGCTGCAATATGTATCTTGAATGTTTTTGCTGTACGAGGGGTAATTAGAAAAATTCATATACTAAATCTCATTGCAGTCCGGTAAGCTCAATATGTAGAGCGTTCGACTGTGAATCGGGCGACTTCGTTGCGTTTAATCATGAAGTCCTTTCTACTGTCATTTGCATTGTACTTCTTCTGTAGCATGTACAGAAGATATCGTTTCTATGCTTAAGGGAAGGCAACTAGTACTGGTAAGCTACTCGACAGCCTGCCCAGGAAAGATGCAATTGCTTAACTGTTAGCTAGTAAGTTCAATGTCGTTTACTGCTGTAATCCGGACTGACATCACCACGATTGAAGGTTAAAAATTCAATACAGTACAATTCAATATCTGTTTCATATTCTCTAATTTCTTTTAAAGAAAGCATTTCAATTATAAAAGCTATGACATACATAAAACATAGCCCGAAGCATGTCGGACTTATATAACCACGTTACATTGTGACGCTTTAAACAACGTTGCACAGAGTGACAACTTAAACATCCCATACAACTGTTCCTCTTTCGCAAAAGTACCCTATGAACCTGGACATAGCTTAACCAGGTAATCGTTCAATATATTTTAAACAATACAATATGCGATTCCCATAGCTTGTACGATTTCACTGTTTTGGCAATTACGGTCTTCTCCTTCCGTATCAGGAAGTCAATGAAATAAATAATTAGTAAAAACGCCCTTGACGCTGTTCCATCCATATTTTGAAACCGCTTAAAGAAGATTGCTTCATTATCTGTGTATATGTAACAGTTTCCAAATTTCCATACATTGGCGTTGCAAAAAAAAAATCCTAAACACAGGCATAATTTCACTGCTGCTTGAATTCCACAATACGTCAAACTGTCAAGGTGGTAAAAATTTCGCAAACATTTTATCGACTGTAAAAACATTATAATAGTATGTGGTCGTACCACTATACATCAAGTACGGAATGCTCTTGGATACTAAATATAAATGTTGAACATAGTCGCATAAATGTTTGCAAAAATGCATAATATGCAGAAATATTCAGACGACTTACGAGTACACAGTACGCAAACGTTTCAAAATATCGAACGTAAAAGTAACAACAAAAGTCTACGTATTTTCTGATCAACCCTCATATTTTTGGTCATTTCTAAATTTATTATTTATTGAAATGTAATTGATTAATAAGTGATAACGAAAATTTATTTAAAGTCGTAATTTAAATGAACGTATTGGCAAGTGGAATTTAGAAATTTAATTATTTTGATTCTGATGTTGATAATTCAAATGTCAGTTTTGCGCGTTTTTATTTATTTATTTTTAGTTTATTTCTATTTATCTCTTTCTTTCTTTTTTCTTTTAAATTATTAATTATCAGAAATTAAAACGACATTTTTATCCAGAATATGTTTTTTGTGTATAATATTCCTATTTTTATTAATATTAATGTATATTCTCATGAATATTTAAATCTTAAATGTCAGTTTCCGATCAATTATTTCCTTCGAGATTTGGAAAATGTGTCACTCGTACTGCTGAAACTTGTATTAACAATATGATTTAATTAAAATGTAATTTAATTTAAATCCATAAATATTCAGACATCATAGAGTTAACATAAACAACCTTGAAACAGACTCAACCCGTTTTTCTTCATGTGTTGACAAATGACAGTCTGTATTCAATTTAAAGACCTGTATTGCTCCAGGCATGTTTTCATGGAATGACACGTAAGTGTCACATTGAAGGTTACATGATAACCGCCATATGGACACACTTGCGGATGTTTCAAAATTCAAAATTATTGTACCAGTTCATGTTGAATGTTGAATTCTGCTTAAGGGGGCGTGGACGGTAGTTTGCACTTGACAGTACCGTCCATGAACAGGCTCAACCAAACCGAGCATGCAACATTTTCAATTTGCCGTGTTGGGCATTCTTTAGGGGGTTCCTATTTTCTCTATTTTATATTTTTTTCATAACGTATTTTTTTTCATCTGGTGTTCTTTTAAAGTTTCCAAAAACGTTACTCATTGGCGAAACACCTACACCATCTTTTGCTTCTATTGCTATTGATAGTAAGTGCATTACTTATTTGCCTTTAAGCTGAACTATAATTTGTTGTTGATTTGTTTTGGCCGACAAAACATACATTATAGATATTAAGTAATTTGAACTCGTACGAAAGACAAAAAACAATCCCTTTCTTTTTGCTTTGTTATGACATAACATTTGTTCAACGCTGCTTTCTCCTTATAATTCACTTATAACATGTTTTCTGTGAACAATTTTGTATTTCTATTGTATTCATTATTTGTCTTTTACATAATAATAGCATTTATTTAGTCATTGAGACATTTTGACAGATCTTAAATCTATACACTGTTTTTAACGTCCGCTTTTGGCGAATTCCGACGTAACGCTGAATTTAAACCCCGTTGAGAAAAATAACACTGCCAACTTTTTGACACTTATGTCGTTGAAATCTGATCAGTCGTTGTATCTAAATCAAAATGGGGAAAAAAGCAAGAAAATCTATCTGAATTAAAAACAAAGTTATTATCTAACAAGTTCTAATGATTTAAAAGTGCTTGAGAATTTTAAGACAAGTTTTATGGTCGAGAAAGGTGCCGCGTTCCTTTTTATGCCAAATGCACGCATGTTTATAATATGTAATGAACCAGACAGCCGCAATTGGAACTCACACCATAACCAACCCCGTAACACCTTGGTGACTTTAGAGAAAAGCTTTAAAAATCACAGAATTCTTCTAACACGACCATGATAGCTTATTACACTAATTTAAAAGAAAAGGAATAGCATTAGCGTTATGATACTAAAGGACTAAATACACAATAATCTCCCTCTACAATAACTTTTATCCTGATGTTTTATATAATGTCAGATACCTTTCGACAATTCTTACAAACTTTAAGATATTTTTAAGACAACAAAAATAATACATTTTATACACATGAACAAATAAAGAAAAAATAATGGTTTCCAACAAAAGGAAAATAAATTGAAATGTACACCTTGGGTATAACTAAAACTATTTATTCAATGGCGGATACTCAACTTTTGTTTGTCATCGTCGCAAATTGTGTTCAGCAACAAAGAATACAATAATAATTGCTCGGGTTGTACTATTATATCTCGTCTTTTTGGTATTTGTGCAAAGCTTCTAGCAGGATGAACGTACCAAATGATGATATACCACAACATACATAGAACAGAAGTCCCGATAGCCAGTGTTCTTTTCTTGGGGCGTCTGTGGCAGTAGTTAAGAAAGATGACTTCAAAACACAAGCCCCTAGCCACAGAGTCATGGGTTCTTTCATTTGAGGAAGCTATCACGCTAGCTTGCGGAAGCAAACTGTCAAGTAGGTGTTACATTATTAGCAAACGAAATATAGCAATAAGAAATATCGAAACATTACCCACTAACAAGAAATAACCACTTTCTCTGCAAGTGACCAACAACTTATCGCTGAATCGGCAAGAGTCAAATAACACAGAAACGGGTCAGCCAGAGAGCTCTTGATTACATCCCATGCTCTCCCCATGCTCTCCCCAAAGAGCTCAGTTGACGGACAAAGTTGTTTGTTTAATTAGTATTTTGCTGAAATACAGTCAGTCAATGCATATGCTAAAGCTTTTCTGCTATTTAATATGTTCATGTCCTTGCTGTAGAAATATCCATCAACTTTGGATGACACAGCCGATCTATTTTTAAATTTCTATGTAAGTTTGAATTTATTCTACTTAAATAATCTTCTGCTTGCTCTAGTCATAGGTTCCAATACTTTATTTTATTTGATAATTCACATTTGTACATTAATATACAGAACGCAATCTTACCCTTTATTTTTATGCTAAGGTTTGCACTATTATTTCAGACAAATTTAGTTAATTACGAGATATAAACATAGATTGTAACGTATGCTTATAAAAATGAAACACACGTTGCACTCAGACACAAACATCACCAAACGCTTGCATTTTGGTTTTTAATAATTTTACTTCTCAAGCCCTCTTTAATTTGTGCGAATATATAATGTTTGTGATATTATATTGGGTATACATATTCTTGTAGACGTGAGTATAACGGCATTACATATTCTTAAATAATACAATGAGAATTTATTCCTCATTTGTTACATCTTAATATCTTAGTAAAAGCTGAACGAAAACCTGGCGTGCTTAATGCGTAAACAATTGGGTTAACAGTCGAATTTACGTATGCCATCCAAAATGTTATATGCCAAATAGTCTCTGGCACCAAATCTGGTTTTGAAATAGTTATGTCAAATACAATATGAAATGGAAACCATAGTATTGCATATGATAAAACAATTAATTGCAAAGTATAAAATATCTTCTTTTCTTTTTCTAAACGTCTATTTGTCATTTCCTTGTGTTGTGTTTTTAATTCACACGTATTTTGTTTTTCAACACTTATGTAACTAATACATTTCGAGTGAGCTTTTCCACTTGAATCATTAGTTTCACTATCGGTGTCAACAGATGTACTAATTGTTTCCCGATTCTTATCCTCGTTCTGTGGTGTGAATGTCGAGGGACATTGCAATGGCTGACTAATTCGGTGTAATGCATTATTTCGTTTCATTTTTTTCCTCAAATATATTGCCACGTGAATGTAACAATATAATATAGTACCAAAAGGGAGATGATGTCCAAGCACTGCTATAACGTAAACTAATTCTTGATTGAGAGAAGGATCCCACAAACACTCATTAGGTGAACTATTGTGCAGCCGATCAAGAAGCCATGGAGGTACCCACAATACTAACATGAACGCCCTAAAATATATCAAGAAAACATTGTAGAAAAGAATATGTATTTTGGTTCAATTATATACTCCATAAA